TTGGTTATTGTTCGAGATAACCTCAATGCCAGGCGTTATGTCAACCAGATTCTGAGATCTCATGTGTTACCAATATGGAGAAACGCGAGAAGATTCATTCTTATGCAGGATAACGCAAGGCCTCATACGGCGAACATCACTCGTCGATTCTTCGAGAGGAACGACATTCAGTTGTTAAGGCATCCTGCAATGAGTCCTGATCTCAATCCAATTGAGCATGTCTGGGACATTTTGGACCGCCGATTGCGTCAGAGTTACTCAAACCTCCGAAATTTAGCTGAATTAGAGATTGCTTTGATAAGAGTTTGGCGTCAGATTCCTCACCGGATGATCCGCAATTGCATTTCCAATATGCGGCAGCGAATGCAAGCTGTGATTCAGAGTAGAGGCGGAAATACTCAATACTAAACACACACACATACACACAAAAAATGGAATTTTTTGATTTTTAAAAAGTTTGCTTCAAGTTAAGGAACAAAAACCTTGTTCCTTTAATTTTTTATAAATTTTGATCAATTGGTCCGGAAAACCGCTGAACCAATCGCTCCAAAAATTTAGGGGGTTCTTTGAGGGACATTAGACTGTAAAATTTCTCTTTAACCGTACCTTTTCCGCCCAGATTACTGAAGATACAGTCAAGTAACTAAAAAAGGGGAAAATTTTTTTTCACTTTTTTTCACTTTTTTCAATTCAATGTTAGAGATGGAAAAAAATTTGTCTCTTTACTAACGTTTGACTGTATTTCATCGGAATTTTATGCAGATGATGAAATTCGGTGTCCCCTCGCTGTGCGACCAGTAGTTCCAGAGATATCGAATTTTGAATGCAGAAGGATCCTTTTGTATTCAAAGTTCGATATGTCGGAACCAATGATCGTAATTGAGCTCCGCGAAAAGCAACGTGAAGCTGAATAAACAGGCTAAAAGATCTATGTATTGGCGTAGCTCGAACAAATTTTTCCATGCTCGTAGAGTAAGAAACAAAATGTAAAAAATTTGAATAAAATTTTTTTTTCGCTTTGTATAATGATTGCATGAAATACGGAGGTCCAAAAAATTTTTAACCAAAAAAACTAAAAACTAGAGTCTTCAAGCTTCAACAGCTTTATTTTTTATTTCCTGTACAACCATTTCTCACTGAATTACCGCCTGTTGAAAATCAGCCAAAAATTTGACAAATTTTTTTGTTCCCTTAATTTTTGCGAGGAGTGTAGTTAATTGTTCTGCTGGTTTAGGAATTTTTGATAAATATCTTGCATAACATAAATAATAAATAATGGCTGCAACATGAGAACAGCAGCCTACAGTCCTATTGCCATTAGCACAGTTGGAAGAGTACTGTTTAATACCTCGGATACCGTAAGTATGTGGTTCATAATGCACGTATGACTTATATGTTTTACTATTAATATGCCTTGACTTTACTTGAAATCTAATTATTCCATTTTCTTTTTTAGCATGTTTAAAAAATAATACATCTTCTTCACCTAAGATTTCTGATAAGTAACATACAGCTTACGACAATTGGTATGTGCCAGTAAAAAGTACTTTAAGCTCATCCACTGTTAATGGAAAGTCCAATAAATCATCCGACGACATCTCATGAAACGGTGTAGTCTTTTGGTTCCAGTTATTTTCTTCAACAAATTCTGCAAGGGTGCTTCTCAAATTTTTCGTGCTATTAATTCTTTCTAAAATCAAATCTACTTTTCCTATATCTGAGTTTAGATGTTTTCCAAACTGGTTGTTCAAAAAACACGCAATTCGACAATATACACCTGCACTGTTCAATAGAGAATTATGGAGTTGATGATGTAGAAGTTTAAACTTTTGTCCAATTATTCCATGTATATCTTCAACAACCCATTTAACTTTTGTTACCAATCGAGACTCGTTTGATTTTTTTACAGTTAGTGGGTTTCTTTTTACTTTCAGTGCCGGCATTAATACTTCATAGCCCTTACTCTCCAAATACGGAATAACGTCACGGAAACCTCTTTCCAAAATGAAAACATCTCCTGTTTTGATAATACTCTTAAGACCTTCAGAAGACTCTAATAGTTCCTCTAAAATTTTTTCATTATTGAGGTTTGCATTGAATGGTCCATCCACATTGACAGTAAAACAGTAAAGGCGATTCTGAAAGGTTTGCATAAGGGTGTTTTTTTCTGGCCGGAATAAGATTTTCTTTGATAAACATTATTGCTGCTCTTCTGATGACGTAAATAAGTGCCATCACATATCAAAGCTAATCTATTTTGCAAATTAAACAGTGCTGTAGCCATAGGAGATGCTTGACTGAGCAAAAATTCTCTAGAAACGGATTGATATCTGAAATTCTTTGATAAAACTTCTTCTTCAAAACATTTCAAAACAGCAGCTATGGACCTTTGTACTAATTTTTCTTCAATTTTTAGTAAAGCAGATATACAAAGATCGGAAATTCCAGTTCTCAATTAGATTAAAAATATGACTAAGGCTTGAGTAATGTTGTGATTTTCCGAATTTCGCATTGTTGTCATCATGTCTCGCAATGTAAGAATATTTTTCCAATGGTAACCCGTCAATGCTCTGACTCTTTCTTCAGAAAGTGCATACTCACCAATTTTATCATGAAAACGAGCATCGCTAGATTCTGACAAAATTTCTAAGAACCGGGCCACTTCCTTAGATTCAATCTCGCATTCTTGATCATAAGCACATATTTTGGATAATTCTTCCTCATAAAATCGATTTTTTATCAAATGAATTTTACAACATACATTTCTTCTTGGAATAAAAATTCTTCTTTATTTAAATACTTGTATACGGGCATCAAAAGGGACATTTTGCAGATTTGCAATTCCTTTGCAAGTAAAGTAACATTTATGGATCGCAATTGTTCTCAGAAAAGACATAAATACGTTTTCCACTTTGATACTTTCAATTTGTACATAAGATGGATAGCTACCAGAAGAATTTGTTTTTTGACTACTTTCAGTGGTTTCAGATTTCTTATCCCATGAAGGAGTATTATCTATATCACTTGCACTGACATCTTCGAGGCTTGTTCTCCAATTTCAGAAAAAGGTTCATTTTCTGTTGCTACGTTTTTATCTGGAGTTACAGACTTGTTACGCCTCAAGACGCATCTTTACTCATTCACATTCTTTAAAAAGTGCAATCCCGAATTGCGTAAAATCAAAACTATGTACACATCCACCAGAAAACCACACGGCAGCAAAATACAAAGACCATACTCAGCATTTCACAACACACATTGAACTCAAAAGGAAAAATTACCCAACTACACAGAAACATCAGCGATTAATTGAGCACAAATCTATGTATATAAGACGAACCACCTGTAAAGAGTTAGTCATCTTATATTGTTACTCCGTACACGTCAGTTCGACAATTGACGAATAAACTCTACGTATCGACGCTACAGTCGCGTGTAAGCCTGTTCGACAATTTGGCTAACTATTCAATTATTACCTGTCAAACTATATTATTTGATCTCAATAAATACGCGATCCATTAAAAGTGAGAACGTGCAACTTCATTATTGAACCTATCCAAATACCGAGATCTACGATACTGAAAGTACTCTAGAAACTGTAAGTACAATAAAATAATAAAACACATTCATTCTTATTCATATATCGTATATTCCTCATTACTCGTGAGCCTAAATCAGCCACTAGTACTATATTGGTACGTTTCGCACATTCGCTATTCGTAGTTTATGCACGAGACGTAACAATTGGTTCCGGTACAAAATTAGAAAAATCATTCTATTCTATCAATTCAAAGTGCAAAATCGGAATAAATTACTTTATCTTACCAATTCAAACTTTTCAATATAATCTTCAAGGCATTAATTAACAACAAATTAATAATTTCTAATTTTGAAAGAATTTTTCTTACAAACAAATTACATTTCAATCGTCTTCTCTTGAACTGAAAACACATAATATCAAATTGTGTCATTTCATAAGCGAAAACAGTGTAGTAACTTGATCATCGCGAATAAATGACCTGTTAGAATCTACAACTCAGCAAAATTTTTTTTTTTGGAACTCGAATTGAAATAAGGAAAGAGTAGAGAAAAAGTAGGTCAAAACAACAATTCCTTACTTACTCATATACGAATTTGTTACTTATATATATATATATATATATATATATATATATGCATGCTTATATAATTATATGAATGCCATAATATTATAAATCAAACAATATACGAATCATTTTTCGTGACTCCCTCCTAATAACAGAACTAATTTTAACTATCGATTTTTAGTTTTTTTTTTAAGTTCACATTATTTTCTTTCGAACTTTCTTATAATGTTCAATACAATCTAAATTCAATACATTTACTTTTCCTTTTCTTTTCTCGAATAAAATGCTCAAATGAGTAAAAAAATTATCCCAACTAGCAGAATAACTTCAAACGACTCGAAGCTTACGCGATCCCAAACGCGCAGCAATCCCCAACTGAAAAGCCTCCTACATAAAGAGTTAGAAAAAAACGCATTCAGAAGAAGCAGCAAGATACAATACTCACCTACAAAGAAAACCAAGGAAACACAAGCAGAAATTTCAAGAACCGAAGATTCATCAGCAACTCAAACAGAAGAACAAGATTCAGTTTTATAAGAAAACAACTTTTCAACAATAAATACCACAATAGACCTTGATAGAAATCAACGATACTCAGACTTTGGAGGAATTTACAACGAACAAAGCCTGATCTTAGGAACTTCAAAAGATATATTTTTAAATCTTGAACTACAAAGTCAAGAGGAAGGAAAAACATTTCTCGAAAAAGATAAACAAGGAATCATAATTCAAAAAAATTTTGAAAATAATCTACAGAAGGAAAACTCACGGAAAAGCGATTTTCTAGCATTAGTAAACATCGACACACTCATCGAAGACCCGTCTACCACAAAGCAAAAAACAAAAATCATTAGAGAAAATTCTACGCCATCAATTAATAAAATACCTACAAATATGGATAACCAAGAAAAACCAATGAAATTACAATTGAAAGACGTAGCAGCCTTCGTCACAGAGTTCGATGGCAAAAACATATCACCTATGGAATACATCTCCATGTTAAAAGAATTAAAGGATATTATAGACGACATCGATGAGAGAAATCTTACAAAACTATTAAAAATAAAAATTAAAGGTGAAGTAAAAGAAGCCATAAGAGGAAGCAAAGTGGAAAATATAACAGACCTAATCAATGCAATCAGAACTCTATACCCCATCAAAGAAGACATACACGCATTATATGCAAAAGTTCGTCAGATATCACAAGAAGAAGATGAATCAGTTGTACACTATACTAACAGAATACGACAATTAGTATTGAGAATAAAAGAACTAAATAAATGGGAAGACACTACAGCAATAGAACGAACACAATTCGAAGCTACACTAGACAAAGAAGCAGCTAAAAGCTATAGAAAAGGATTAAAAGCAGAAATTAGATATGAAATAGGCCCAGGAACCACAGTACAAGAAATGTCGACAAGGGTAATAGACATCGAAAGCGACATAGAAAAAAGGAAATACACAACAAAACCAAATAGAAACTATACATATTCCAACAATAAAGAAGAATTTCAGGAAACAAAAATTCTCACATGTCAAATATGCAGAGAATTTTCACATGAAGCTCTATTTTGTCGCACGGCAGCCTGCGTATATGGTAAAGGAACAGATCATTTCTTGAATAGTTGCAAGAGAGTGCCAAAGAAAATTAATCTAATATGCAAATTCTGTAGCCAACCAAGCCATTCAATAAGTGCCTGTCGTTTAAATAAAAGACAAAATATACACTGCCAACATTGTCAAAAAATGGGACATGAAGTAGATCAATGCCCACACATCAGTAACTACGAAGCATGCTGGAAATGCAACGAAACAGGACACAACCCAATAAATTGTAAGAATGACCAAACTTCAAAACAAAACAAATGTGAAAATTGGGAGAAGATTGGACATACAATGCAACAATGCCCGGAAGTAATATGCAGAAAGTGCAATAATATGGGCCACCTCGTAAAAGATTGTAAAGCAGGAGAAATAAAAAAGTCCCTATACAAAATATGTGCTATCTGTGAAGAAGTAGGCCACGAACAAGACACCTGTGACCAAGTAAAAATCATGTTCACAGAATTCAAAGCTAAACAGTAATTCAAGTGCCAGTATTGCGAAGAGACAGGCCACACAGCAAAGTATTGCCCACTCCTAAAAACGCAATCGCAGCAAGTTCAACAAACCCAATACCTATCATATAATTCAAATCATAATGGATTCCAAAGGAAAAGCTGTGCCTACTGCAAAAGTCCAGGACATAATATAAACGAGTGTAGGAAACTAAGCGCATTAATGAACAACACACCAACAAATCAACAAAAGATATGCGAATTTTGCAAGAAACACGGCCACGTAATCGATGAATGCAAAATAATTTTGTCACGACAAAAACAAGTCGGCAAATTCTGCGAAAAATGTAAAATAGCCGGTCACACAACACAGAATTGCTTTAGAAATAAAGGAAGAGCGGGAAACTTCGAGGCCCTTTCTGGAGGAAACGCCTAGAAAGGGAACACAACGAAAAAGCGCTCCCACAACAAAAAGATACAAAAGCACAACAAATCAAAAACACAGTTAACATAGAAGCAAAAACATACGTATTGAAAATGGAAAATTTACTGCAATATATTGAAGTCGATGATCCATATTCACACAAGAAACTCAAATTGTTGATCGATAGCGGAGCTCAACTAAACATCATACAAAATAACAGTATTTCAAAACGAGACATAAATAGCAATGAACAGATATTGATCTCCGGAATAACCGACAAGTCTATCAAAACCCTAGGATCTACGAAGATACCAATACAAAACACATACTTTGATTTCCATGTAGCCCCGGACACTTTCTCTATTCCATACGATGGAATTCTAGGAATAAACATTTTTTTAGACTACAAGGTGAGACTAGATAAAGGATACCTAGAAATCAATGGAGAAAAAATACTCGTAAAATCTACAAAAGATAAACACACAACTCCCACAATTACTACACTACAAGAAAAATCGATTGTTACTTCAAACCAAGAAGCCAACAATACAGAAGAAATTACAGGAAAATATGACACTACATCAAAAGATGAAGACATATCATTATATCAAGATCTAGAAAAAATATTAACGACAGTAAACGAAATAAACACGCAAGAAAAAGAAAAAACAGAGCAAGCACAAGAGGAAGGCGACGAACAAACGTATAAAGAAAATTTAGCAAAATTCGTGGAAAATATAAACGAAGCTCTCGAAAATAAAAAAGAGCGAACAGAAGAAGAATACATCATGGACAACTATTATACCTTTTGTTCGATATTAGAACAAAAATAAAAATAGAGGACAATACAAAACAAAATATACACATACAAGAAGCAGAATTATCAGATAATGAAACTATAGATACACAAAAAGAAATACAAGGGGAAATCACACAGGAAAAAGCCCCAGAAACTCAAGACACGAAAGAAAAACGAAACCGACTGATTGAGACAGTAAAGCTAGATCACTTAACCCACAATAAAAAACGAGCAATAGAGAACTTGATCATATCATTCGAAGACATATGCTGGCTAGAAGGAGATGAACTCGGCATGTGCAATATCGAAGAACACGAGATCAACTTAACAGATGAAAAGCCAGTATATATCAAACAATTTCCTTTGTCCTACACACTAAAACAAGTGGCATTAGACGAAACAAAAAAACTAATCGCAAACAAATTAGTTAGACCTTCAACAAGCGCCTTTAATGCACCAGTATGGGTCGTTCCAAAAAAAGGACTCACCAAAGAGGGAAAAAAAATGGAGATTAGTCATAGATTACAGAAAATTGAACGCTAAAACAATACCAGACCCTTACCTGATACCTAATATATTGGAAATCTTTGATTGTATAGGAAAAAACAAATTTTTTACAACTATTGACATGGTTTCTGGATTCCATCAAATAAAAATGAAAGAATCAGACATTCACAAAATCGTCTTCAGCATACCTGGCTTAGGACGCTTCGAATTTAAAGTGTTACCTTTTGGACTAATCAATTCGCCAAGAATTTTTCAAAGAGCACTAACAACAGTACTCGGAGATTTAAGAGAAAAAGGCTTCTGCTATGTACACATTGACGACGTAATCATTGTGGCAAATACAGTAGAAGAACACAACGCAAGATTCAAGCTCATAGCACAAAAGCTAAGGGAAGCAGGACTCAAATTAGAAACCAGAAAATGCAAATTCTTTCAAAAAGAAGTAGAATTTCTAGGACATATCATAAATGAAGAAGGCGTAAAAACTGACCCAAAGAAAATCGAAGCAATACAGAAATTTCCTATCCCTAAAACAGTTAAAAATATTAGAGAATTCTTGGGACTTACTAGCTATTACAGACGCTTTATAGACAACTTTTCAGATATAGCCAAACCATTAATACAGCTATTACAAAAAGACATAGAATTTGTCTGGAATACAGAGAGACAAAAATCATTCGAAAACTTAAAGAAAGCTCTATGCTCTGCACCAATACTGTAATATCCAGACATGACAAAACCCTTCATAATAACAACAGACGCATCAAATTTCGCATTAGGGTGTGTACTCTCACAAGGCAAAATAGGCGAGGACAAACCAATTGCATTTGCATCACGAGTGCTAAAACCAGCAGAAAAGAAGTACCACACATATGAACGCGAAGCATTAGGAATTATATTCGCCGTGAAAACATTCAGAAATTACGTATATGGAAATAAATTCACAATAGTAAGTGACCACAAACCACTGCTATCTTTCAAATCTGCCGACAATAACTCCAGAGTACAAAAATGGAGACTCAACTTACTGGATTACGATTATGATATCATCTACAAACCTGGGAAGATAAACACAAACGCAGACGCACTATCAAGAAATCCCGTAGAAAATACCATGGTAACAGTCGTAACCAAAGCAAAAAAAGCTAAAGAAACAGGAAAAACACAAACAACAGACATACAAAATAACAATACAGCAATAAAAAGAACAATTAAGAAAAAAAGAAAACAAAAAACAAGCCCAAAGGAAAAAACAATAGTAAACATTCAAGATTACCCACCAGAAATCATGACAAGCAAAGCAGATCTAGAAAAACAGAAACATGTAGTCTTCACAAAAAAATCCATAGAATCACGGAACGACAACGTTGCAATATTTGTAAACCAATCACGACAAATATTAGACAAAAAAATGGAACAATTTATAAAGTCAAAGAAAATCAATATCAATAAGGACCTTCGCACAAATGAAATCGAAATTATAAAAATAAATTCAAAAAAATTATTCATTCTATGTATAGACTCAGGCCAATCAGGAATAACAATAAAACAAAATATCACCCACATCCTAGGAACCCTGAAAGAAATTATGACACAACAAAAAGAAAATGGATTCAGCATTTCAAAAGACCTACAGATAAACAATATCCATTGGCAAGAAATAGAAGAAATAATCACAAAAACCTTTCAGAACTCAGGAATTAACATAGTTATTTGCTTAAACTATATAGAATATATCGAAATCGAAGACCGAGATAGAATATTCAATCTGAACCACTCATCCGCCTTAGGAGGACACTCAGGAGTAAATAGAACATTAAATCGCATCAAACTCAAGTATTATTGGGAAAATTTAAAAACAGACATAGAACAAAGAATAAAAAATTGCGAAGACTGCCAGAGAAATAAATTAAAAAGAGTAAAGACAAGACAACCAATGGTTATAACGGAAACACCGTTTAAAACTTTCGACAAAATTGCTATGGATATAGTAGGTCCACTAAATATTACCAAAAATCAAAATAAATACATCCTCTCCATTCAAGATTTATTATCAAAATTTCTAATAGTGACACCTCTACCCGATCAAACTGCCGAATCAATCGCAGACGCGTTCATAAAAAAATTTGTATGTGTTTTTAGTTCACCAAAAATCGTGCTCACAGACAGAGGAGCAAACTTTACAAGCAAACTCTTGAAATGCATAGCGCGCAGATTTAAATTCACGAAAATAGAAACAACAGCCTTTTCGCCACAATCAAACGGTTCATTAGAAAGAGCCCATCACCCATTGTGCGAATACTTAAAAAATTTTTCAACCAAAAAAATTAAATGGGACGAATTACTAGAACTAGCACAATTCCATTATAACACAAGCGTACACAGCGCCCACAGATTCACACCACATGAACTAGTTTTTGCTTATCCACCACGATTACCTTCAAGTGAAACTTTAAAAGCTTCAGAACAATTACCCACTTTCAATAATTACCTGTCACATTTAATCACAAATATCTAAGATATTGCAAATTTTGCAAGAGAAAACCTAATAACTACTAAGGAAAAATCAAAAAAGTATTATGATCGCTTCATAAACCCAACAGATTTCAAAATTGGAGACCAGGTCTGGCTCATAAAAGAACCTAAACCAGGCAAACTCGAAAAGAACCAAAACCTGGGACCATTTGAAATCTTAAAGGTTACAGACAAAAATAATGTCATCATCAATAAAGGTGGAAAAGCAAATACAGTCCATGCAAATAAATTAATTATGCATAAGAAAAAAATCTAACAATAATTTATGTTCTAGGACCATTTCAATATGTATCAACAATTCTTAATAATAATTACAATTATCAAAACAACATCAGCCATCATTAGATACGACTGCGGGACAACAACGCCAAACATCACGACGTACTCCTTAGTAGACACGGGAGAATGCGACTTTCACAACACTCCCGTAAATAAATCAAATGTATATATAGAATTAATACAAACCGCGGAATTCCGCGAAATTTCCGTACTACAATGTAAAATAGAAATACATAGAACTGTCTCCACGTGTGGAATATTCGGGCACTTAATACCCACACCAACTGGAGAACAGGAATACATTTACGAAATAAGTCATGAACAATGTAAATTTATCCATGAAACGGGAACTTTCGTATATGACAATATTCATAAAATCGTTAATCTAAAAATAAACGCAACTACTTCAAAAAGTATCGATTTCGCGGGTAGCGCAGAAGGAAACTCCTGCTATGGAGCAGCCTACGCTGATAGCTTCGGATCA